CAACACGAGGCATTTTGAGCTTAAGTACTTCAAGGTGTTCGCTGTAGATTGAAATTTTAGCAATACAAAAAAATTTGTAAAAAATTCAATAAAACATAATAAAATATTAAGTGAGTGACTTAACCTACTGAAAATTCAATAAAACATAGATAAATATTGAGTGAGTGACTTAACCTACTTTATGAATGGTTGAACGGCGCTTGTATTGAATAAGATGTACCGATGAGCTTATACCCAAGAAGTATTATCAAGATAAAAGCTTGTGTTTTCACCAATAGCATGACCCAAATTATCAGCACCACTATAGTTCCTCACGGGTCGACTTGATTTGGTTTCCACATCATTGAGATATTGTGCACAAAAATTCATGCATTCTTCCATAAGATATCCTTTAGCAATTGATCCTTCAGGATGTGCTCTATTACGCACGTATTGCTTCAAAGGCTGAAGATACCTCTCAATTGGATGCATCCATCGAAACTGAATCGCTCCACCCAATAAGGCTTCATCAACTAGATGTATAAGCAAGTGCTCTATTATATCAAAAAAACTCGGAGGAAATATTTTCTCTAGATGACAAAGTGTTATAGCGATACGATCTTGAATATATTGCAAATCCGTCGCACGATTCACTTTTGAACACAATTGTCTAAAGAAATTGCTCAATTCAATCAAGGGTTCAATTACATTCTTTGGTAACGATCTTCGAATAGCCAATGGAATAAGTTGTTGCATCAGAATATGACTATCGTGGCTCTTAAGACCCCCAATACTTCTATCATGTGAGCGCACACGACGTGATATATTGGATGAATAGCCGTCGGGAACTCTTACTTCCTTCAAGAACAAATCTTTCTCATCCTTGGTCATCGTGAATTGTGCTGCTGGTAAATAGGCTTTATTCGACCCTCTTAACTGCAAATGTAGGGGTTCTAATATTCATATCTTGTAAATCACGCCGAGCATTAACGACATCCTTCGATTTTCCTGCAACCCCTAATATTGTCCACAACACATTGTCACAAACATTCTTCTCTATATGCATCACATCGAGGTTGTGTATTATTAGATTGTGCTCCCAATATGGCAATTCATAAAAGATACTCTTTTTCTTCCAACTGTGGGTGCGATGTCCAGCTTTCTCCTTCTCTACCTGTCTCCTATCCCTCTCCTTAAGGTTATCCCTCTTGTATTGGGTTAAAATACCCTCAGATTCTAATTGTAGCAACATCTCAGTTCCAGACAACAATTTGGGTTTGAGTCGGACTTCCCGAGTACCATCAAATGATACTTTATCCTTCCGGAATTTATGGCCAGTAGGTAAAAATCTGCGATGACCCAAGTATGATTGTTTCCTACTATGCTTCAACCAACACGATGTAGTTTCCTTATTGCAACAAGGACATGCATATTCGCCTTTAGTGCTCCATCCTGACAAGTTTGCGTATGCAGGAAAATCACTAATGGTCCACAGTAAAGCTGCATGCATTTGAAACATTTGATTTGTTGATGCATCAAATGTTGACACACCCTCATTCCATAGTTCTTTCAACTCCTCAATCAACGGTTGCATATAAACATCAATCTTGTCACCAGGTCCTTTTGGGCCGTCAAGTTCGCTCAAAAACAGACTGAATGATACTCACAAAGTGAATATATAATTAAATACAAAAACTAACTAAAACTCAAACGTTGACTATGAAATCACGATCCACATTCCTGATTGACATGCAATTTAATGCATAAAATATAAAGATAAGCAGATGCACACGTACTTCAATATGGTAAACTGTCTTTGAAATGTTATCAATGTCACCCACAATATATAAGGTAGCGTTTGCTGGAAAGTACCAACGCTCATGGAATTTCCTGATTTTGTCTACATCCCACTTCTTGATTTGCTCTTCCAACCCAATTGGGAATCTCTTACTCAGCTTGTTTTCAGAATGCAGATGTTGCAACAACTATGTACACACAAAAAAAATGGGTGTTAATATTGCTCAATAATACACAAAAAATGGAAGTAAAGACTAGCCAAATATCCTAATTGTAATACCTGGCAATCGACACGGTACTCTATTGAATTCATCATTTGTAGTTCTGATAATATCGCTCTTCTCTCTTTCTCAACTCGAGAAGCAAGGAATTTTGGGTAAAAAGCTATCTGTATGCATGAAAGAGATGGCATCTTAGATGTAACCATAATACAGTACATATATTCTATAAAATCACATCAGGCAGGAAATCAGCACTCTAGAAAAAACAGTGATTGGAGGGAGATGAAGCTTATTGGTGCTGTTTGGTGCAACTTATAAAGTTGATAGTAGCTTTTTTTTATTTTGGGATTTTGTGCCAGTCTACTTGGTGCGTGCAGCTTTTGCTTATAGCTTATGAGGCAAAAATAGTTTAAATAATATTAGAAAAAGTTGATTATCTATAGGTTGGGAAAGGAGTGCTTTTAGCTTTTGTTTTCTGATTATCAACTTTCAACAAAAGAAAAGTTGCACCAAATAGGCCCATTATAGTAGTTCCTAAATATCTTTATCAGCATGGCTTAAATTTTTGAAGAAAGTTTGGCAACAAGTACCTCATTCAAAGCATCAAGAACAGATGGAAGTAGATCCCCGTCCGAGTCCTACCCATGCAATAAGGATAGAATTAGTATCATATAGGAATCCAATAATTTGCTAGAGTACACACCCTCTGTCCAAAAATGTTGCCACTATTATGTCCTATATAGCTATTGCTCAAGCAGAAGCAGGGGTAGAAGAAGCTTGTTTTCATTTTCATTCCGTCTGTGATTTTAGCTCATATAGATAGCAATGGAAGTATGCAAGGGCGCGCGCCAACAGACACAGAATCTAGACAGAATAACATACAAAAAAGATGACAAGACAGGTGCATTCAACTGGATCATGGATTCAAGATATACATACATCAACTGTTCAGTGACTATAAAAATTGGACCACAAATGAAAATACCAGAAACCTTTGTACAAGTTGGTGAATGGATGTGAAACACAGTATGATGAAAATCCGTGTAAGCATTTGAACGGGCTCCTGTCCCAAGAAGTTTCTCACGCTTCTTACTTCCAAGGAAAGCAACATGTTCAATCATATGTGCAATGCCTTGCTCATCATCTTCTTCATCAATAGATCCCACATGAAGCTCCATGTGTGCTTCAAACCTAAAATTGGAGAAGGGAAGGAAAAAAAAAAAGTACAATAATGGAGAGAGTGAGATTCTCTGATGCAGACACAAAAAAGTACAATAACGGAGCCATTTTCCTTCTTATGATTACAATGAGTCTCTGATGCGACAAATGTCACTACTTGATGCAAAATGATCCCTGGTAACCCTTCCACGTCAATTCATGGGAGACAAAGTGGAAAACAACAAAAATTAAGTATCCTAGTCCAGGAGAGAACTGTAATTAAATCTGACCAGTATTAAGGCCTCGTTTGGGAACAAACTACTTTAGTACCTTTTTGGCTTTTTACGAAAAGATGTGCAGAAAAGTAGAGAGAGTGATGTGACAACTTATAATGACTTTTTGGCTTTTTGGCGAGAACATATAGTTGCCAAATGAGGCCTTATTTAGGCAACATAAATAAAAATTGTTTGGTTTCAGAATTTTGAATTTACTTTTTACAAAATTAATTTTTTTTGTCTTTCACAAGAGAAAATGGGGGCCTATACCATACATTCTGCTACCTCGGGACGACTGCACGTTACATCATAGCAACACGACCAAATGGAGGCGGAAACCCCTTGTATAGGTTGGGCGCTAGCGCTTTATACTAATATTAATTAAGAGCTTTTCCCTTATTACTAAAGTTGCTCGAGGTCGGAAAATTAAAATACAATCTAGAAGATTTGGTCGAATGGTAAAAGAATCTATGGGTTCGTTAGAAATTGCCAGTCATTGTCTGGACATACAAGTCACAGCCGGTCGGGAAGAGGAGATATCAACGACGAAGTTACTAGCTACTAGTTGGAAAGGAAAGGACAAGACCACCTTTCGTACATTTCTACTGGTCCAGACATTCGAATAGCGAACGAAAGACCAGAAGATTGGATCTAGAAAGCACTTCCAGCAGGGTTGACGGCTGTGTGGCCCTCATTCAGCTGGAAGTAGGAAATCAATCCCGGCACGACCGATGACTTAGTCTCCTTCTCCGCTTCGACTCAACCACCTACCTAACCTCTTAGAAAAGATCCGATAGATAGCAGCTACCTAAGGCGCTTTTTTTTTTTTTTTTGTAATTTTTCATATTATTTTTTATTGGACACTTCTTATATTATTGAGAATTGCATTACTTTAGTGATTAAGTAGTGTATATAATATGAGAAATTTGTTGGGTTATATTATGAAATTTGAAGTATACCAATGAAGTTTTTTGAAACTCTTCAATCGTGGAACTAAACCGGATTTGAACAAATTTTGCAGTTTGGTTTTCGTTCGATTTCTAAAATTTCACAATTTATGATTCCAAAATTTCTCTAATGATAGGTTTAGTACTTGGATCATCTCATAAACAAATTAAACTAGTATGTAAACACCCCTACTAAAACAATTGATTAATCAGGCTAAAAATGATTATACATCATTTACTTTTATAAGTCATGTATATTTTCATTTCCAACATTTTTAGCAAATGGCCACAAATAAGAGACCCGTTAACAATTTTTTTTTTTAAATATATAAAAATAGGTTGTGAATTTTTAAAAGTTTATTATTTTTCAAAAAAATAAAATGATTGGAAATAATGAGTGTTTCCATAAATGTTATTATTATTTATTTAAATATACAAATTAAGTGTTATTATTTATTTTCAAAAAAATAAAATGATTGGAAATAATGAGTGTTTCCATAAATGTTATTATTATTTATTTAAATATACAAATTAAGTGTTATTATTTATTTTCAAAAAAATAAAATGATTGGAAATAATGAGTGTTTCCATAAATGTTATTATTATTTATTTAAATATACAAATTAAGTGTTATTATTTACCTGTCGTCCTCGCCGCAGCACCACCGCACCACCGCACCGCCGTTCGCCGTTCGTAGGGATTTGGTTGAAATGATCAATACAGCCGTTCGGCTTCGTAGGGATTTGGGGAAAAGAAATTAGTTTCAAATATTTAGGGATTTGGATTATGTTTTGATCGAGCGGCAAGATGAATAGGGAAGAGCAAGGGCAAAAAAAATTTCACTTTTTGCGACGGTAGGTTTTACATCGTCGCAAATGGCAAGTATTTTGTTCATAAAAGGACGCCGTTTAAATTAGACTTTTTTGCGACGGACAATTGCCGTCGCAATATGTAAACTATTTGCGACAGCAAACGTATGTCGTCTCAAAACATTTTTTTGGCGACGGTAAAAATATCCGTCGCTAATACTGATGCATTTATTCCCCTATCCGCGCATTTTTTATTACCGACGGGGACAACGCCGTCGCTAAATCCTTCATTTGCGACGGTTTAATCTGCCGTCGCAAAAAACCATTTTTTGCGACGGGACAAGTGCCGTCGCTAATGCTTCCGTGTTTTTTACCCCCTTTTCTTGTAGTGATAACAAAGCGTCAAGGTTCTATATTTCATCACTCTCTCTCTCTCTCTCAAATCCCTAATTTCGGTTTGTTTCGCAAATGTAATGGTTCTTCTCTACGGATCTCGTTGATTGTTTTTGATCTCGACAACAATTTCATCCCCGATGAGTCTCATAGCATCTCTCTCCACTATGATTTCAGCATCCAGGTTCGATCGATTAATCGATTTTAGTTCCATAGATTTGGTTTTTGATCTATTTTTCGTATTTATTCTTCGAAAATGCTTATTTATTAGTGTAATGTTTGTGTTGATGATGTATTATCATAATATGATTCATTTTTAATTCGTATTTGTGAGTGTTAGATTCGTTTAGAGTATTATCATAAGGCAGAACAAGCGAGGTGAGAGAGAGCTTGAGAAGTTTGATTTGGACATACCTACTCTGTGATATTAGTCATTGAGTTTCATGGCCAATCAATAGAAATATATGAATATTAATGCAGAAGAAAGACAAGAAAAAATCAACATGCTTTAAAATTCATAATTGGGCAAAAATCTAAGTGAATATTATTTCTTGTGTATGTATATAATAAGAATGTGTTTGTTTATGATATGAGACTTTGAAGAATCGAAAACAGTTTCGTTTTGATAACTAACAGTGAAAGTGCTTTTTGTTTTAAGTGTTTTAAAGGTTATTAGTTGAAAGTTATTATTATATAATTATATGTAACGCTTTAATGGAAGATTTTGTGTTCTTGTTTAAAAGCTCTCTATTTTCTACTCTATTAATTGTACTAGGTTTGTTTCCATGCATCTATCTCTCTCTCTTTCTCTCTCTCTCTCTCTCTCTCTCTCTCTCTCTCTCTCTCATGTTTATTGGTTCATAGTTGAATCATGGGTTATTCATGTTTAGTTTAATTGGGGCTTAAAAATTAATTTATTAGCTTAAAATTTGAGTAATGTTACAATGATCATTTAGTTTTTTCTTGGTATTTTATCATTTGATGTGTTAATTCAGTTTTGATCAAAAGAATTAATTATATAGTTGATATGGTTGTGTTGATTAATATAGAATTTTATTTTGCCGTTGATAATTTAAAAAGATTTACCATTATGAGGAAAAAGAAATTAAAATTGCAAAACTCATTTCTTGATACATTTCGTTTATATTTGAGGATAGTATTACATGGTTTGGGTGTTTGTGTAAGGAAGTAGGAAGTAGCTTTTTGAGTTGTCCTTTGTATTCAGAAATTCGTGTATGAAGAATTCGTAGAATCCTTATACTGATGCTTAATCTGATGTTTCTTTTGCTTTGATGATATGGTCTGATCTAATGCTAATTTGTTTGTGTGCGAGTGATTTTCCGATCACACTGCCCAACTCAGTAATCAGCTGGAGAGTACTGGCAGAATAGATGACACCTAGCTGACCTGCAACAGAAAGAGAAGATTCCGGTGGTGGTTCGTCCACCCGGGGGCACTCCGACGATCAAGTCAATATATCTCTCAAAGATAATCAATAGTGCTAAACTCATTGTTCAGAATATAAATTGCGTACCTTAAACGCACGGGAGTGCCTCTCTTTTATAATTAACTCAATCATTGTCCCACTAGAAGCCTAGCTTCATTGGACTCTTGTTCAGTGCTTATCCTCGACTTTCTAAGAGATAAAGATAAACTCCCTAAGAGTGTTATCCTTATCCATGCTATAGTCCCTCCTTATTCTAGGACTCTTGTGCCTTATCCGCTTATCTTGGATTCTGATATCTTCGGAAATAACCTCAGCCTTACCGAGATCACCTCGGCGTCATGTCCTGGACACGTGGCACCTCGACTGACACGTTGACGTCACCTTGGCTACGTGTTGGGACTCATAAAATATATCCCCACAACTGTCCCCTAGGTTCTATTACCTCGGCATCCTAAGGTGATGGAACTTATATCGATACTTCCTGTCAATACATCAGCGTAAGCCGAGATCATCATCATAGGCCGATATGTCTTCTTAAAGATTAAGAATCCCAAGGGCTTCTTCACGCGTATGAGCTGTCATGCATCACAATTCAACCGTTTTAGCCACGTGCCTTCTTCTTACTAGATCGTGCTTGTGACGTGCTTCTAAATCATCTCGCGAATTTGTGCGCCATCTGACGCTTACGTTGTTTTAGGTGCATTAATTACCCTGTTTGCTGCCGTTTCAAGTTTTAACAAAGCTTGTTTCTTTTCTCTCTGTATCTTCACTCTTTACTCTTTACTTTTGCATTCGAAGCTTTTCTCTTTCAAACTTTTTCCTTCAAGATCCTCCATTGCTTAAGCTTCCAAAGCTCTGCAACTCGTTCCGTCTAGTTCCTTCGGCGAAGTTCTTGCCAATCTGTTCTGCAGCCGCCGTTCTTCTGACTTCGACGATCTCAACATCGGCTTTTTCCCTCTACTAAGTCATCGTTCCTCCTGGTTTCAGTTCTTGTTGTGCTCTAAGAAATTTTGTTTCATCATTAGTCGCCATTGTCGTTTTACCCAAATATTTGATTCGTGAATCATGTATCTGAGCATGTTTATTTCATAATTTTGCTCTTTGCCCATGTCTTGAACAC